TCTCTCTCTCTCTCTCTCTCTCTCTCTCTGACGGTCGCGTATCTCTTATTAATATTATATGTTCTGGAAATATCCCTCGGCAGTAACTCCACGAATAAAAGACAACACTTGCCTTTTCAGAGCCATCTATTTTGCAGAGCGATGTGCGAGACGATATTAAAAAGATGAATGTTGAAAATATTTTAATGAAAAAAATAAAAATTGTCTTTGGAAAAATATAAATTGCGCTTTTCGGCGCCGTTGATGACTTCCACACTGGAAGAGCAGAAGTCTGCCGGAAAACGCTTTCGCATTTGACATATCTTTGATAACTACAATCTGCTTTCATAATAATGTGCAAACTGCACATGATTATTATCGGCAATGTATGTTCCATTTATCCGCTTATGTGCGTTCTCAAAGCAGTAGTATACGGATGTAATAGATGTCGGAGAATATCATAGTAACTTTTGCCTCCTACATATAGGCTACGGGCTCTTCTAATTTTGATCGTTTCCTCTCAACAACACAAAATAATATTAATCTTTTAGAATATTGCAATATTTACTTGCCGTGATATATTGATATATCGTGATATATTGATATATTGACTGAACGGCGCCAATACTTCACCGTTTAATATCATTTATTAATTAAATAAAGTGTAGAAGTCTGTAAAAATCAATCAAGTACATACATTTAAACATTTGAGAGAAGAAAAAAATAAATAAACATGGATTTAAGTAATTAATACAATTGACGCATATCATTCTCTCTTTTCTTTTTCCCAGCATCATTAAGTAAAAAGCTTTTTTTTATTAGATTTTTTTATTTATATATATTCAAAGATACCAAAATTACTCCATTTTACTGTGACAAGAATTCCTTTAAAGGTATTCCTTGTAGATTTCAGTTACAGAGTCCGGAATTGTGTTACGCTTTCCGATACGAAATCCTGGTGTAGAGTTTCTCTAACACTTCCAACGGTGTTTGAGAGATTAATTTCTTGAAAGTCTCGGTACTCGTGTTTATTCAAAACGTTACATCTGTTACACCGTCTCTGAGAGACTCTCA